TGGCCAGCTGGGGATGGACCTTGTGCTGCAGTGGCTGTGGACAGCTTCATAGTTTGTGTCTTAACCCCTTGCGCCACCAGGGAGGCACCCCTTTGTTCTTCTTAATACATTTTTTCCCTTTTTTTTCAAAACTCCTAATAAGTTTAAATATCAGCCTGTTGGATTTACCTCAAATAACCCTATTGAGATTTTGATTGCTCTGTTATCTGCACTGTCCAATAGAACTTTCTAGGATGATAAAAATTGACCATTAATTAATTATTGCTTGAAATGTGGCCAGTACAGCTGAGGAACTTAATCTTTTTAATTTAAATTAATTTAGGTTTAAATTATCGCCAGAAATACCTTTCTTTTTTTTTTCTTTTTTCTTCTTTTCTTTTTTTAAAGATTTATTTATTTATTTATACAAGCACTGGGTATAGTCAGAAGCGCGGGAGGGTGAGAGAATTCACCAGAGCCAGAGTGGGGAACAGAACAGGCAGACTGATGAAACACACTGCTGAGGGGAGCAGCGGGCACGGCAGGAGAGGTCTGCCACACCATGTGGGACTCCTGCCAGGGGCCAGGGATAAAACCGGTGCTTCAAAGGCTGCAGGCAGCTTCACAGCCCAGCACTCAACCGCTGCGCCACCAGGGGAGGCTTTCTAAACTATAATTATGATCAGGGTCCTCCCTGGTGGCCTAGGGGTTGAATCTCAGCGCTATCACCACTACACCACTACAGCACTATCATTCGATCCCCGGCGAGGGAGCTAACCCACATGGCATAGCAGACCTCTCCTGTCTCACCCACTTGCTCCCCTCAGCAGTGTATTTCAGTAGATCTGCCTGTTCGACTCCTCACTCTGCCTTTGGTGAATCCTCTATTCCCCTCTCAACCTCCCCACCCCTCCCCACCAACACACACAAACACCTCTGGCCTACAACCTAGTTCTTCTACGCAAAAATAAAGAAGGGGAAAAATGTTAATAAGCTATAATTATGATCCTATCACTCCACTAGGTATAAATCTACCTTGCTCCCAGTCACCTGTGAGTGAAGTTCAAAATTGGAAGCTTCTTTTGCTCTGGTTCACTTTACTCTGTATTTGTGCTGCTCCGCTGCTCCTTATCCTGTCATCTATTTGCACTTTTATCCTGTCTGTCTGCCTGTCTGTCTGTCTGTCTATCTCCAATTAGCTATCTTCATCTCTACCATTTTGTATTTTACTTTAGCTAAGTTCAGTGCTTTACCCTAAGCACTCACCATTTTTCTAGCAGGTCATGGTTCCATACCTTTGTTTATTCTTTCTCTCTTTGGAATGTCCTTCACGGTGTTACTGGCAGTCACCTTAAATCTTAAACCTATCTCAGTGCTTGGCCTAGTTTCTGAACCTTCCCAGAGTGTTGGCATTCTTCCACATTCCCTGTGACGGCACTAAATGCACTTCACTCATCTGCCTTCCACTGGAGTTGGTGCTGGATGGTGTGGCAGGTTTACTTATGGAACTTACAAAAATACACATGCTCAGTATATACCTTGTAAATGTACTTAGTAGGTCTGGGTCTGAGTCTCAAAGAGCTTCTGATACATTGTTGGTTGAATAGCCAGTGCCTTGGTCACATTCCTCTGTAGAAGAGATGACTCTTACTCATCTCTCCTTGCCAGTATCTAGACTCAGTGTGAAGTAGGAAACCAGTAAACACCAGAAGATGCTTAGGCTGGAAAGGAAGATAGGGTTTAAGTCAACACAAGTATTGGTTAGTAGGATGAAACTTTGATTCCGAAGCCTGTTAGGAGTGAGTTAAAATTGGTTGCTTTTAGGGGAGTGGTAGCATCAAAATGGTGCCTCAAGATTATTCCAGTAAGAAAATACAGCACATGTATACAGAAGAGTGGGAAGGAGAGAACAGTTAGATGGCTATTGCAACAACAGAAGCCTGTGATAAAATGGGTCTGAAGTGGGAGTGGAACTAGAAGGAAGTGGACACAAATGATACTGTGAAGGAAGAATCAACAGGATTTGGTGGCTGGTTGATTATGAGTGACAGGAAGAGGGAGGAGTCAAAGACGTCTCCAAAGCTTTGTTTGCGTGAGAGCTGAGAGCCACTGTGCCTCTGAACAGTCTCTGACTAACACTGGGGTTTGGCAAAACCATAGCTTTCAGGTGAGTGATGGAAATATCCAGTTACTTGGGCTGCTTGGCCTACCTGACTGCGGCCATGTGGAACTTAGACAGGATGGGGTCATGATAGAAGGGGGCTTCATGTGTTCTATCTTGCTCAAGCTCTGCTGGGATGTCCAGGGGGAGATGGAGAGAAGCAACAGCCTTTCTCTTTTGACTCTAGTTCACTTAGTTTAGGGAATTCATTTTCCAAATACCACATCCCTGTCACCCACCCCCCATCCTCCAGAACCTTCACCTTGGACATCTGTGGTCCCCCTGACCAGCCAGACTTGGCAGATGTAGAGTCACTAAGTCTGCAGATCAGTTGTGAGCTTTTCTCCTTGTTCTCTTTGCTCAACTAATAAAGAAAACTTTACCCAAAAGGAATGTTACTAGTAAATAATGAGAAATAAACACAGGAAGTATAGGGAATAAACATGTGATTCATTTGCACTCCTGTAGTGTTGGACTTCTCATGACTTCTTAGTGAAGCCTGGACATCCCTTGGAAGAAGTTAGCGTCTCCATCTGTGGGCCAGTCTTAGTCTCATCCCCTTGGTCCCTCTTTTTATCATGAGCACTGTTTGCAAACACAAAAAGTGAGCGCTTGATAAGACAAGGAGAGTATACGTTTTAAAGAGGTAATGACCTTCATAGATGCACAGCAGTGGTCACTGTCAAAACTGTCTGCACTTTGTCTCGCGCTTCTGCAGCTCATTGTATTCTCTTCCCAGGATAGAACAGAGAAGAAGGTGCTTCCTTGCCTTTTCTCCAAAAAACTTTATGTTCTCTCCATAGTGGACCTCCCAGGGAACACTATATTTTCAGTTCCTAGGGAACTAGGACTAGGAAGCACCTAGTCTCTTTTTGATTCCTGATAAGAGATCAAACAAGATTGACATGTGGAGTCTGCAAAAGATGCTGATCCAAGGTTTCACCCCGCCATCCTTCCCAGCCTCTGCCTTCGAGAGAATTCTGATTTGCATCCTCATACTCTTGCAAGAGAATAATTTATAGGGCCTCCCTGGTGGCGCAGGGTTTAAAGTCTCAGTGCTATCAAGCTGTCGCCAGCCACTGCAGCCTGGGTTTGATCCCCAGCCAGGGAGCTACCCATATGGCGCCATAGACCTCTCCTGTCTCACCCACTGCTCCCCTCAGCAGTGTGTTTCAGTAGATCTGCCTTTTCTGCTCCTCACTCTGTCTCTGGTGAATCCTTTTACTTCCTGTACCTCTGGCCTACACCCCAGTTCTTGAATGCATAAATATATAAAAATACATCTTTTTTAAAAAAGAGAATAATTTATAGAAGTCTAAATATTATGGTTCTAGTATACCAAATGGCTTGTAAACTATAGTAACACAAGAAAAAAGCTTGCTCTCAAATAATGTGCTAAATTACCACCCTCTTCACTCTCTGACCACACCGCAGTCCTGGAGCTTGATGCCAAGTCCTTTCCCACCATCCACTGAGCCCCCCTCCCCTCATTGAATAGGGATGAGTCAGTATTTGTCTCCCCACATTTCATCTCACATGCTGCTCCCTGTCTCCTGGGGCAGGGATTCACTTAATTCAGGATCATATTGGAACAGAATCCCCAAGTAGGAGTCTGCAGGTATTTACTGCTGATTGGACTGTCTCCACAAACCATCATGTGTCTATTAAAGATTAATACACACATGTGCATGTATGGGCACACACATCCACACCAAACTGCACCTCTGGTCATTGTAGCTCCTATATTTTTGAGGGCCTTGGAAGGCTGCTTGGCAGCATGTTCAGTTTATTTATTTTTAAAGATTTTATTTATTTTTGCCTAGAAGAACTGGGGTGTAGGCCAGAGGTAGGGGGCGGTGAGAGGATTCACTAGAGGCAAAGTGGGGAGCAGAACATGCGGATCTACTGAAGTACACTGCTAAAGGGAGCAGTGGGCGAGACGGGAGAGTTCTGCAGCACCATGTGGGTAGCTTCCTGGCAGGGATCGGATTCAGGCCATCACAGTTGACCTTTATGGTGGTAGCGCTAAGACTTAACCCCTAGGCCACCAGTGAGGCCACCAGCATTTTCAGTTTAGGTCTAGCTCTTCACTTGCCATAATGTTAGATTATGTAGAGTCAACAGGAGACTTATTCTCTCATTCCCTACCAGTTGTCTTTGGTCTTCTAGAAGGTTTTGTTGAACTCAGTTATCTGTGGTGCAGGGGATCAACTGAATTTCCCTAAGGTGATAAGCTGACAGCCCTAAATCAAAGGACTATGTAAACTAAGGGACTTGTAAGGGACAATTCTGTGTCTTTATTCCTGAAAGTAAAAGCATGAACTTCCTGAAAGTACTTATTGTTTATGATACCTTAGTATTTTATGTAGAAATTGCAATAGCATCACAACTTCCAAAGAACCTAGAATCCCAGAGATGGCCACCACACTGCCATTAGGCACTTATTAGCTTTTGTCATTTCACCTTGACTCTGCACTGTCATGAAGCTGGAAAAGGGGCCATAGTTGTGTGTCTTCTGAGGCTGCAAAGGCTAGTACTAACAAGCCACACTGGGAAAGCCTGAATCTGCGTGTGAGAGAGCATCAAAGTATTGTCCCTCAGTATGGGGGAAAGTGCCAGGACGTGATTTTCAGCCCACAAATCTTTGCTAAAAAAAATTCTTACATCTTCATGACAGAGAAGGTTATAATGAAGAAATGGGAGCATGCCTTCCCCAAGCCAATTAGGGGACCTAAGTGTCTTTGTCTGTGATTGAAGCCATGTATCTGTTTGACTCTAACTCTAGCAGGGCCTTTTGGTTTCAAAGGAGAAGGCACTGAAGTCTCACCAACCCTGGTCACTTTGTGCTTGATTCCTCCAGAGGTGAGCCCTACTTGAGAATGGAATACGGGCCCTGCCCCCACTTCCTGTGATCCAGCCAGCTTCGAGTTGTTGTGGGGATGCCTATAAACCACCAGAAATCAGACTCTTCGGAGATGGACCCTGACTTGTCTCCAGGCTGCAGGCTCAGTGACCTGAGCAGAGGAGGCAGTTTGGAGAGTCGAAGTAGCAGTTCTCGCTCCAGAAGCTTCACTCTGGTGAGTGGTTTTCTTCAATGCTCTACATACTTTGGTTGGCTGACTTTGCCACAGCCCCCTCTCCTCTAAGGAATATCTTACTAAAACCTTTTGGGTTAACTAGCTCCGTGTTTTAGAATACTTGCTTTGTCAAGTAGTACTTTATTTTTAATCACCTTAAATTTTGCACAGATGCAGGTTACACACAGCCGTAACATGAGACCCTCCTGCTGTAGCCAATAACTTGCCTTGTTATCCTCAGAAAAAAACCTGCCTGTGGCAGTCAAAACCCAGGCAGGAACACAGTCAGTTCAAGTGAATGGAAGAAGAGAAACACCTCCCAGGATAAAAACAAATTCACTTAAAAACAGATTTCTAATCCTTTACAAGTGTAAACGCTCTCATATGCCTTTCTCTCAGACTCTAGACCCTTACATAGATATGTGTAATTTCTCTTAATGTTTCCTTCTTATTTTCTAACCAGTCAGCATCCTGAAAATCAGGTCTAAATAGTAATAAACATAAGGTATTAGAGACATGCCCAGATTTAAATTCAAATTTAGATTTGCTTCCAACTTTGTTCTAACCCATTTCCTTTACCTTGATTATTTTCAAGTGTTTTCCTTTATGGAAAAATCATTGAGCCAATTTTAGTTATCATCTGCTACTATTTCATAGTTGTGTGTTTTCCTTAGGTAAAACTGGAACACTGAGAAAATTTGGCATATAATTTAAAATGGTAACTCGAGCTTTCTAAACAATCATGTAACACTTGACTTTAACAAAGTACTATGTTAGCAGCCAACTCCCTTTTTTTTTTAAAGATTTACTTATTTATGCATTCAAGAACTGGGGGTACCGGCCAGAGGTGTGTGGGGGGGGGTGAGAGGATTCACCAGAGACAGAGTGGGGAACAGAACAGGCAGAATGACTGAAATACACTGCTGAGGGGAGCAGTGGAGGAGTCAGGAGAGGTCTGCTGCGCCATGTGGGTAGCTCCCTGGCCAGGGATCGAAGTGCTGCAGTGGCTGTGGATAGCTTCATGGGTCGTATCTTAACCCCTTGCACCACCAGGGAGGCCGGAGCTTCCTTTCAATGAGTGAGCTATTTGTGCCATTACAAAATTTGAAAACTTAAAAAAAAAAAATAGACCTCTAGTGACTCACCCACAGCTCCCCTCAGCAGTGTATTTTAGTCAATCCGCCTGTTCTGTTCCCTACTCTGTCTCTGGTGAATCCTCTCACCGCCCACACTTCTGGACTGTACCCCAGTTCTTGTATGCATAAATAAATAAATCTTTAAAAAAATTTAAACCTCAAACTGGACTTTTTGAGATTCTCAATTTGGAGAAGAATTACCTGTTTTTATTCTAAGTCATCAGGTCTTTTTATGACTTACCTTTTAGAAAATGAATCAACTATAGTCATTTCTCCATTTGCTATCTGGTAATCCCTGACCTCATAAAAGATTCGTCAGCAATAGTGTTTTTAGGCCTAAAGATTGTAAGATATTAAATGTACCTTTTGGGGGACTCTTCAGTAAAAGGTGATCTACTCCTCTGATTTAGAGAAGTATTTCTTTTAAGCAAAAAAAAAGAAGATGTAAGATTAATGTCTAATGCTAAATAAGAATATCCTAATTATTTAAACACTAGTAGAAGTGCTGTTTGGGATTTCACAGATCTTTGCTTCTTAGAAACTTTTCTCCTGAGCCAGTCCAAGTTAAAAATTTAAATAGCTGCTTACAGAGCTATAATGTCCATCCATTCAGCCACCATAGTGCCCGAGGCTGTTCTAAGAGCCTGTCTTTGTCACTCAAGACCCTGCTTGTGTGTGCACAAATATTCTGTGGTTTGCTTGTAAGAAGTTCTTCCTTTGAACATTTTCTAATGAAAAGTATCGGTAGAACGAGAACAAATTTTCCAGATCCTGGAATACTAGACTAAGAAAGCAGATGTCTTTGGATGTATCTTTTTCCTTTGAAATGTGAGGAAAGCTTACTTAGTACAGTACATAAGGCAGCTCGTCTCTACAAAGTCGGTGTGTGGTTCTGGAATTTACTACTTGGAGAGATAACACAGATTCAAGATAAAAGTTTCAAGAAGGATTCAGCTACGGACATAAAATACAGCTCTTGAGAGAGAGAAAAGAAGCTTTGAGTGGTAGATGTAAATATTCTTTTTTTTTTTTTTTTTAACTGTGTGAAGTTGGATGTTCCTTTATTAGAAACTGAAAAGATACAAATGATTTGTTCCCAATATTATGCAAATAATGTTTATCCAAAAGCAATTAAAATTATTTTTATCTGATGTGATGATTTTTCTTGCGTAGAAAAGTCAACTCCGAAGATTATGGTTTTAGCAGATCAATAATCAGTTTTGCATCTAATTTTGTGACTTATTGCAGAACTCTTCTTTCATTAACTATATAATCAGCAGTTCCTTTTATCCTCTTTTGTTTTTGTTTTTTTTTAACATTTAAATAAATTTTATTTTTATATTCCCCATACAATTGCAACCCCCTTATTTTGACCCCAATCCCTCCCCTCCCCGCCCCCCACCCCCCATATAGTGTCTCTGGTTCATAGTTTTTTGTTGATTTTGATTTTCACTTTCTTATAGTTATTCATTTTCCTGGTCCCTTATTTAAGTTTTCTAGATTCCTGCTATGAGTGATGTATATATTCTTAACCTCTGAGTGCTGCTGCTCAAACTCTCCCAGGTATCTCATGGAATACCTGGAGCCCCAGCCACTATTCTTGGGTATTTATTCTGAATGTGGTACTAAATCTGCTCTGCCCTTCATGCCACCTAGAACTTCCTCTACAACAGAGTATGATCTGACTAGTTGAAAAGAGTAGGACACTCTTAACTACCCACAATTCTTAGGGAATTTAGTAATAGAAGTGCTTCTCCGAGGGTGAATTGGAAACATCCCCAATCCCCGAGCATACTTCCTACTCCTTTTTGTCTCTACCTTGAAAAAAAAAAAATAATAAGTTGAATTCATTATTCAGTTTTGGACACTTGCTATTCAGTGAACTATCTTAAAGCCTTCATTCTCCCTCAGTTAACAAATGCTGTGGCCCCAGAATCACCTAATGAGTCTAAGATCAGCTGTCAGTTGTCAGCTCCTGATCAGCCACTTTCTGATCAGCCACTTCCAGCTTTATCTCTCAGTTATGGATAAGAAGGGAAAGCCAGCACTGGCAGATGCAGTCTTCAGGGCTAGGTCAGACTGACGTCTAAGTAGTTCACTAGAAATCTGATACACTACATTCTAGCTGATCTCAAGGAGAGGAAACAGAACAGAGGGGTGGAAAGTAGAAGCAGACAGATCAGCAGTAAGCCCATCTTCCTTTCAGACCGGCTCTTTACCCAGATTGAACCAAAAACTTCCTGGCTATTTTAAGACACAGCTAAATAGCTTTTATGAAAGTTAAATTCAGTAAACATCTAGAAAATGCCCATGACATACCAGACCTGATAGATAATAGAATTAAATACGGTTTTGACCTTTTTAGAAATGCACAATTTAATGGCAAGAGCATGTAGGAGGTCAAGTCCTTAGGATGTTTCCATCTTAATCATGCTCTCTCTATAATATTGCAACTTAAATAAGTATCAGTAGCCAAGAAGCAAAAGTGTAATTCTTTGAAACTATTATTCTTGGGCCTCCCTGGTGGCGCAAGGGATTAAGATGCAACCTGTGAAGCTATCTGCAGCCACTGCAGCACGAGTTCGATCCCTGGCCAGGGAGATACCCACATGACACAGCAGACCTCTCCTGACTCGCCCGCTGCTCCTTTCAGCAATATATTTCAGACAATCTGCCTGTTCTGTTCCCTACTCTGTCTCTGGTGAATCCTCTCACCCCCCACACCTTTGGCCTATACCCCAGTTCTTGTACGCATTAATAAATAAATCTTTAAAAAAAACTATTATTCTTTAGATCTGTTATCAAAGTGTACAAGTATCTCATCCCTCACTGGTTTGTTTCTGTCTCTTCCCTGCCAGAAGTACAGGCTTAAGTTAGTGTTACTGAAAAATTATCATAAGGACTACTTAGAGATAACCATAATTTAGCCCTTCAACCTAAACTATAGGGGATGCCATTGCATCTTAGGGCTTTTTTTTATGAGCTGACGCAAGTCAGCACAGCATCTTGAGCTCCATAAGGACCACAGAAGAGGTGGCTTTGTATTTGCTTCTCTCTCCCTAATTATTTTTCAGCTTTAGGGGGTTCGCTCATCAACTTAGATTATCAAATTAGCAAAGCCTTGCTCACATGTCATGGAGACCAAGTTGGTGTTTGTAAGAAGAAAATGTAACACCAAGTCACACTCCACCAAAGCAAATACCTGTGGCTGCTTCCCTAGGAGACTGGTGGTTAAGAGATCTTGGCTCATCTCAAGAAACATTTTTAGCCTTCATAATCTTTTTCATGATTTTTTTTTTTTTTTTTTTTTTTTTTTTGGTCTCACAGAGACCAAAATGAGCTCTGCTGATTCTTTTTTTTTCTCCCTCACAAGGAGTTACCACCATTGTCTTCGAACGCAGTTAAACTGAATTTGCTTCAGAGAAAAGCAAAACGAAAGGAAAAAAGGCTTAAGAACTTAATTCAGTCTTTTTTTTAGGTTGGGTTCCTTTAGTATAAGTATTTTAAGCCTTCTCAACTTTTTTGTTTGACTGAACAAAGATTTTTTTCTCTCTGCCAATTCCCCCAAAGCAAAACTTCCATCCCAAATCTGTGCTCTCACAGGTAGGCCTGGGAAAGCTGACTTTTATAACTGTGTGTAGCATTCATTGTGTGAGTTTGTCACCGGCCTATCTGGATGTCCTCTGAGCTCCAGCGGGACCAGTGGACATTTTTTCTGTCATCTTTGTGTAGGAGTGAATAGACATCAGCTTTGTTTTCTTGTGGGACACTGGTGCAGCGTGCCTTACAATTACTTCAGTTGAGTTAGAGTTTTTACTTTTCTGGTTTGAATACATTAGAAATTATTTCTTCACAATCATCATATCCATATTAGGGTAGAAGTGTATGTCCTTTTGCATTCTTGAAACAAAACGGTGTTTCCCTGGGAGATTTGTAGACATAGCATGAAGCTAACATGAGGAAACATCTTATAGATGAGCTTCTGGAGATCTGTAGATCTAAAGAGTTTTCTTTTACACCACAGCTCAAAATGGTGCATTAAAACATCATTTATCAGAAAGGAATAAAAAATAAATTTCTTCTATCAGCCTACTACCTACCAAATTCGTTGTTTTTTTTTTTTTCCCCAATTCACTGCTTGCCACAAAGGCTGCTATTCTTGTTTATCCTCCTCATTTACTAAATAGTTTTTAATCCAGTGCCACTTCAAAGCACCACCAGTTGCTCAGGAACCACCACAGCTACTCTCTGCTTTCTTCCCTCCTCTGTAGGAGACCACTAGGCCACTGCCTTGACTCTTTTTGTTGTTGTTTGTTAAAAAAAAAGTGTGTGTTTAGCTATATATATATATATACACACACACATTGCTTTCCTGAGATATTCATACCATACAATTCACCCATTTAAAGTATGTCAGTCAGGGCCTCCCCGGTGGCGCAGCGGTTGAGCGCTGGGTTGTGAGGCTGCCTGCCTCTGCGGCACCAGTTCGGTTCCCAGTCCCCGGCCACCGGGCGAGGGTCCCACATGGCACGCAGACCTCTCCTGCCGCCCGCTGCTCCCCTCAGCAGTGTACTTCATCCGTCTGCCTGCTCTACTCCCCGCTCTGGCTCTGGTGAATTCTCTCACCCTCCCACGCCTCTGACTGTACCCCGAGCTTGTATAAATAAATAAACAAATCTTAAAAAAAAAAAAAAGACAAAAAAAAAAAGTATGTCAGTCAGTGGTTTTAGTAGATTCACAGAGTTGTACAGCCATCATCAAATCAGATTTAGAACATTTCCATCAGCCCAAAGGAAATGTTGTGCCCACTAGCAGTCACCCCCATTTCTCTCCAACACACCAGCCCTGGATGTAGGCTCATCTACTTCTTATAGATGTGCCTGTTCTCACCGTCTTGCTTTTTATGCCCCTCCTCCTCCCAATGCCCTAGTCTTCCTCATTAATGTCCCAGTCAGACAGAGGCAGCCTCGAGCATCCCCTGAGAAGGGAGGAGGGAGCAGGAGCTCCCTTGCACAGGACCATATGCCCCTTTTGTGACCCTGAATTACCCGCTCCCTGCCCTTGGCACCAGAGTCTGTCTCCACCTATTTTCCTCTTCCAGGTGTAAGCAGAGTTCCGCTTCACATAGAATGCAGCTTCCTCTTTGGGGAATTAGGCAACAGAGTGATCCTATATGCTTTTGGCCCTGTGCTTAGACAGGGGTCCAGACCAGGTTGATCACAAAGAAGGTACTTTGGGTCCCTTCCTCTCACCCTGCTCATACCCCAGCCTCCAACTCTAGAGATGTTAGGTGGGTTGAGGGTACAAGAGTCTTGCACTACCTGGGACTCTGAAACTGACCGCCTTGGTTAAAATTGATGTGTGTCTCACATTACGCAAGCACCCTGAGGCACAACCATGAGCTCAGGGAACTCCAGAAAGGTAAGAACTGTCCCAGCACTGGTCTTGGATCAGTATCTGGTTAGAAAGGGAAATACATAGAAGGAAGTAAAAAGCAAGCACAGAACTAGTTCTCATCTTGGCTGTGTGACCTTGGAAAGTCAATGTCCCTGTATTGTTTTCACATCTTCATAGGAGGGAGCTGCAAAAGTTGACCCATGTGTGTCTGGGTGTTTAATGTGTGTGCATATATATATTCTCCCTGGTGGTGTTCTGTCCCCTCTGCTTACCCCACTGTGCTGTAGCCTCCTGTGCTGGGTTTGTTGACTGTGACCATCATTTGTAGTCTGATCTGGCTCAGCTGCTTCATTGGGGAGCCCTTGGCTGGCACCAAGCTCTTGACTGAGCCTTTGGCTCTTGGACCATCAGATTCCACAGTGAAGACTCATAATCTTCTGTCCTAGTATAAATTTGGCTTCGTTTACTCCTCATTTTCAGCATGGTCCACTGTCAATTCCGTTTGATGTGCCCCCTTCAATTCTCTCTTTTATTTTGTCTCAGAATAGATAAGTACTTATCTGCCTATTTGCTTCTGAGAGGGACTTTCAGGTCTGCTCCTTTCACATCACCTTTGCCAGCCCTACAGAGCTGCCCAGCACTGTGCCTGGGCTCAGGGGCGCTCACCCCCCAGCAGGTTGACTATTGGCTTCCCCGGCCACCGACTAAAGTAAACTTTCTTGGGTCTTCTGAGTCAGTTACCACCTGTGCTTCCATCTTCCCAAATTTTGTTTCTGTCATCCCTTTTCTTGTTATTTTTGTCTTTGTGATTTATGCCTTAAAAAAATCTTTCATTGTTTTAGTGATATTTCTGGAGGGAGAAGAGATAAATATGTGAGTTCAACACATCCCTTTACCCTAAAAATTGCCATCATGGAGAAGACAAATGTGTCTGGTAACAGCAATTTGGAAACAGCTCTTCCAAGGAGATGCAGAATTAGAGCTTTCTGACTCACTAGGAAGCACCAGGCTAGGGCTGTTATAGGGGCAAAGAGCATTAATTTGCCACAGCTGTTTGTCAGCCTTCTTTTTCCTGAAGGTCAACAGTGAGGGACCTACGGGCACAGGTTTGTCATTGGGGTGACCTGAATTTCAGACTGTCCCGGCGGGGGTGGGGGGAGTCTTAGAGAGCCCTGTCTTCTACCCTGAGCTCTGTATGTATCTTGCTTTGTTGATTTTTTTCTCTTCAGCTAAAACTGCTGTTTGTTCTCTCTCCCACTCCCAACCCCACGTGTATAGGATGACGAGAGTCTGAAGTACCTGACCCATGAGGAAAAGGATGTCATCCTGTTTTTTGAAGAGACCATTGATTCCCTGGAAGATGACTTTGAGGAGCAAGGCCTGTGTGATAGTGGGGTGCACTGCCACTCCCTGCGGTCTCTGGAAGAGAGCACTTCCAGTCACTCCGAGCCAGAAGACGTCATCGATCTAGTGCCACCGGGACCCACAGCCAGGGAGTCTGGGTGCCCTCCGGACGCAGCTGAGGCAGCAGGTACGAGGGAAGCTCACATCCCAGACCCACGTTGGTCTGTCAGTGTCTACAAGTAACAGAGGTGCTTCTTTCTGTGGTGTCTCCTGTGTGAGCCAGTGTGGAGGCTGTGGGGTTTAGCGGGGATTTGTAGGGTAGCTGCATCCTCTTGGTGGTTTGGTTGTTTCATTCTTTATTCTACCTTTTCAGAATTTCCCTTATGCTTTCATAGCATATTAAGATGAAAACAAACCAAGGGAAATTCCAAAAGAGGTAGAATAAAGAATGAGACTAATTGGTTGTACAAATAAAAAGAAAGAAAACTGGAAATGACTTCCAGGTAACGACTCCACTCAACAAAGAAAACATACACTGTATTTGTATTTTAGCCCTAGCAGCTTAATCTCAACTTTTGTTCAAGATTATACTTATATTTCTGTGGTGTGACTTTCTAGGGTGAGTATGTGAACTGTTATCACCTTTACAGGTTCAGGAAAACAGGAACCAATATTCAGCTCAGCATTTACTTTTACATTCTGTTTGACTCAGGATGGTGTCAAAGGAGAGGTACACTTTTTATCCTTTGAGTTCTGAGGTAGAAAGAGATGGACAAGGAGAAAAAATGGAAAAGGGGTGAGGATTTAAAAGGATGAGAAAAAATAGGAGGGAACATACTTTTGTTCAGCCAGCTAAAAAATACTGCCATTTGTCACAAACCTCTAGAAATATCTATTTCCCTTTTTTATAAGCAAAGCTGCACGTTATACAGAATTTCACATACAATAATGATAGCTTCCAAATGTGAGGGTTAGTCGGTATCCATCCAGAGGAGATTTGACATGAATTTCCCATATTTGCCATAGTTCCTGAATTTGATGTGACTCAGTTGATACTTCAAAAATGTCAGATCACATAATGTGCCAAGAAAGCACTTTTTGAAAGTAAGCCCTTTGCCTGTCATTCCCATCAATGCTCCAACATTAACCTTTCATAACAATGCCAAGTGCTGGCATGATGTGAGAGGTTGAGGATAAAAAGTTTGAGGATATATGAGACCATTTTGTAGCAGGAGACAGGTGTATAAATATAAGTGCAGGCAAGTGTTAGGGGATCGATGGTCACTATATGTTAAGGGTATAGTACAGGCTCCAAAGCTGGTGTGTTCAGTGCTACCTGGACTGTCAGGAACCATGTATTTCATGGAGGAAAGGGATACACCCAGGCATCCTTCATCTAAAAAGACCTGATAGAGTTGGTGTATGCCACCCAACCTTCCTGCCTCGGTTTCCCCTTTGTACAATCCCCTGACAAGGTAAGTTAGTATCTCCTGCTGCCACATGCCTCGGGATGAGGGCTGCGCAGAAGTCTGCTTGTGCAGTGCACCTCCCTGGGTACTGCCCAGGTCCACCTTGCACTTCACCATCGCTAACTCATCCCCCCATCATGTGGTCACAGGATCCTGTACTATAGTCACTTTCGCTCATTCAGGAGCCGGGGAAAAGGGAACTTAGCTTACGGGAAGCACTGCTGAAGAGGTTTTATGTCCCTGAAAAACCCTTTTAAATTCAGGGAAAAGGAACTAGCATGCATTTATTTTCACGTACAGCGGTAGCTTATGAGGCTTCTCCCTCACTTCTCAGGGGTCAGACCTGGTGGAAAGGAAGACGTTCCCATCCTTAACTCCGGGAAACCAGACCCTGAAACTTCTCCCCAGCCACACTCCAAAGTCCCAGAGACCTCACCTCTGCCGCACCTTGCCTGCACCCCCGTGGCCCCCGCCCACCCCAGGAAAGAGCTGCTTTCTCCATCTCCCCCAGCAGAGCACCCCAAACTACCCCGCTCTGTTCCTACTCCACTGGTCATCGCCCAGAAAATTTCTGAGAAGATGGCAGGAGATGAGGCCCTTTCGCCCACGTCCCCCTGGAAGGAGGGCAGACCTGGAGAAGGGAGGACCCCGATGTCATTAGCCCCACGACACGGAGACCACCTCTTGGGGCACAAACATGCGGGTCAGCCGGCGCCCAAGATCCACCGCTTCCCCAGCAACATCAGTGTGACCAACAGCGCGGGGAAGGACTTCAACAAGACCATCTCCAAGGCAGCTGTCAACGTGCAAGAGCGCAAAGCCCGTGTCCTGGCCAACATTAATGGTGTCTCCTTCCCCTCCGCGGCGGAAGTGGAAGCTCGGGCCCCAAAGAGTGACCTCACTGAGCCGAGGAGCATCTCCCCAGAGCAGGTGACGCGTGACCAGAGCAAGCTTGGCCCCAGCAAGGAAGCTGCAGGAGGACAGCAGTCCCGGGCCGTGCAGACTGAAAGTTCCCCGCCCTGGCCCAATGGCTTCCAGAGCATCCACGACGTCCTGAGGAGTGAGTCCAGTGCCTTTGTCTCTACTGGAAAGACTGTCACCTTCCGGCCAGACCCCACTCTCACCAGCAAACTGGCTCGCCAGAACGCCAGCAAGAGCTTGTACGAACCCCGGCAGCCTGACTGTGGCCCAGATGCCAGGAAGCGGTCTGGCTCCCTCCCCAGGGCTGTGGGGTTCAGACCCCAGGGCATCACGGTGCAGTTTTCTGGCCGAGGCTCCACGGAGGAGGCCCGAAGGGAGGCTCTGCGGAAGCTCGGCCTACTGAAGGAGAACTTGTGATGAAGAACAAGGAGGGAGCTGGCCTGGAGGCAGCCGCATGCCACAGAATGACCCAACATGCCTAACCCCCCCCCCCCCGAAGAAGACGGGTGAAATTAAATGGTAGCATTAATACAGGGGTTATTTTATCCAGAAAGTCAAGGAACTGTTGGCCTAAAATGGAAGTGCCTGGTAGGGGCAGTGGAAGGGCCACGTGCTGTCCCCTGCTGAGGACTCAGTGGTCCTGCTGAGCACAGAACTGTAAGTGTCGCCTGCCCAGCCCAACCCACCCAGAGCAGGGGTGTCCTTCTGAAGAGAGAGTTGAGCCTCCCACCTTCTTGTCTTCCTCTGCCCTCGAACACAGAGGATGACCTTGAAAATGCCTTATGTTTTTTGGATTTCGGAGTGCAGAAGGATTGGCTCTGTTATTCTTGAGTGTCTACTCTAGGTTTTTATCCTAAATACATGGCATGAAAGCCAGTTTGGGTCTTTTATACTCCCGTTTCTAAGAAAGGGATTGCCCTCTCCTTTTCTGAGGAAATTAAAAAATATACATATACTCATTAAACTTTTGTAGTGTCTTCATGTACATTGTGTTTGAAGGGTAAATGATGGTCTGTTAGCCCCGGATATGCTTGTGTTTCTTAATATAATTTAGTTTGCCCCAGTTGCTTTTTATTTTAAAGTGGAAATGAATCCTTTAGAGTATTATTTACTATAATTGTGAGTTGTGGGAGTGGAATAGAAAGGTTGAGTTAGGAATAGGTGGTAATTTTGAGAAAACAAGTCTCATCAGACTACAGGGTCTGTGTTACTGGGACACGTATATATGAGCCTGTATTGTGTATATAACATGTACATAGTACATATTTATAGGTACATATATGTTAACATATACATGCATAGGTACTGTGTATCCACATATATTCACTAGAACATAGAAACTTCTTGAAACTCTATAAAGTATTGCTACTGGATGCAAGTACTTGCTGTTCTCCTGATGGACACAGCCATCTCAACACTGTGACAGATAATGGTCACCTCCTAAAGTGGAAGTCTTTGAAGGACATAGCTCCATAATATTTTGGTGAACCAAATGTGCTTGTCCCTCAACAATGTGTTCTTCTGTTCTAATTAAAGTAATTTTCTAAATGAGCAAGATAGTCACATTTTTTAGTGAAGACTTTAAAGATTTATCACCTAATTTTAACGTATCACTTCATTTTAGTTTTGCATGTTCCCAGGTAGCTTAGTAAATAGAAGGAAACAAGATTCTTAAGATCCCCTCTTGATTATGTTGCATGAGCAAGATCTCAGGATTAACTTAAAAGGGAAAAAAAACCCAGCAAACTGGGTTATACTGAATGAAAAGAACTTGTTTTGTCCCAGAGTATGTCTCACATGCTGATTGTAGCCACAAGCATTATCATCAAAACTATGTAAGGCTGGAGTCTTAAACCTCTAAAAATAGACTGGGAAGGGCCACACTTAGAAACCACGCCCTTCTGTTGTTCTGCTTCAGCCACAAAATCTGTTTCTTTCCTCTTGAGTATTATTTAAATTTAAACTTTTAAATGCGCTGTGAAGGACTATTTTCATAGTATTCGATTTGCCTTGGAAAGTTACATAAAATGATTGTGATTTTTTTTTCTTATAAACTACAGTGTTTAGTATCTCATCCAGCCCTTGTCTTCCTGAAATAATTTCCTAGATTCTTGATGGTCTTAATTTAAATAGATAATTTTACTTTACAGGTTTTTAAAAATCGTTTTTATTTTACTCCTGTTTATTCTTCTTTTTTTTTTTTTACTCCTGTTTATTCTTAAGGATACTTGAGGGCTGTATTTCCTCTTCCCAAAGGGAGATGCCATACACAGTGTTTAAAAAAATAGAGGGTCTTGGGCCTCCCTGATGGCGCAGGCGGTTCAGCACCGCACTGTGAAGCTGCTCCCAGACTCTGCAGCACCGGTTCGTTCTGGCTGGCTGGCGAGGGTCCCACATGGCGTAGCAGACCTCTCCTGTCTCTCTCGCTGCTCCCCTCAACAGTGTATTTCAATAGATCTGCCTGTTCTGCTCCCCGCTCTGTCTCTGGTGAATCCTTTCACCCTCCCGCGCATCTGGCCTGTACCCCAGCTCTTGTATAAATAAAATAAATCTTTAAAAAAAAAAAAAAAAAAGGTCTTGATGTGACTAACATTTTCAACATCCTTTATATATGAGGATTATTTCTTTTTATCTTATCCTGTGACTTCACTGTGATTAAGATGAACTTGACTGTAGTATTTTTGTTCTCATAATGACATCATTGAAAAATAAATGTAGTTATTTTAATTATAATCAACTTTGTTTTTGCATTATGTACTTATTTTCCAATATTTTCTTTTAAATGGTTATAATCTTTTCTTCTATTTATTCATAATTTCTTTTACCTATTTATTCTGATAATACTGACAGTTACTCTGGTCATTTCTTGTGCCCACAACCCTAGTAATTAAAGCTATGTGTTTTGTGGACAGTCAAAATTATGGCTGATAGTGAACCAACCTGTATGTGTGCATATTATGTTAACAAAAACATCAAGTCTGCTGAGAGGCATCAGATTTCTTGCCCTAACTATGTGAAAGGACATTCTTAAAGGGTGATCTGGTTCAAGGGAATTTAAGGACCGTATTACTTAGCAAAATTAGAATGAGAAGGAAATGAAGGTTTTTCAGTTCCAGTGATATTTATGAAACAGTCTCCACTTTTATGACATTCTATCTTAATAACTAAAATGAGTGGGAAAAATCCTCCTGTTTTTGGGACATGTGTGCAAATGACCCAACTCATCTCAGCTATGCTACTCTGCAGTTTCAAGGTACCGGGCTGTGGGTGCTCCTCCCTCTCCCCTCCCCCATATTTGTGTTGTAGCACACACCCTTATCCTCACAAAAATGGTAGAAATTCTGATCTTTGCATTCCCCTCCTGAGAACACATTCTCCTCTTTAGGGCCCCGATGGGGGTGCCCCGCAGGCCTGAACTGCCCTCTCTTTTCCCTCCTCTGGAACACAGCTGTCTTTGGCAAGATAGGATTCATCCCTCAGAATTCCTGGGCCTCTCTGGTGGCACAAGGGGTTAAGACGCAACCTGTGAAGCTGTCCTGTGAAGCTATCTGCAGCCACTGCAGCACGGGTTCAATCCCCGGGCAAGGAGCTACCCACATGGTGCAGCAGACCTCTCCTGACTCGCCCACTGCTCTCCTCAGCAGTGTATTCTGGTCAGTCTGCCTGTTCTGTTCCCCACTGTCTCTGGTGAATCTCCTCACCGCCCCCCCCCCCACCTCTGGCCTGTACCCAGTTCTTATATGCATAAATAAATAAATATTTAAAAAAAAAAAAAAAGAATTCCTGCCTGGTAGGCTGCCTTGTGAAAGCAGCGTCCATGAAGAGCTCAGGGGATTTGATAAATGAGGCCTCAGGGAACCCTTGGGAGTGACCTTTTTATTTTTAAAGACTCAGAAATGAATTTTCTTATTAAATTCCCATAGCTCGGGCTAGGAGGAATTTGCCCTGTCAAAGGATTTGGTGGGGTTGTTTTTTATATTAGTGAGCTGAGAAATCTGTTCTATTTATGTTTTTTTTTTTTTTTTTCTCAAGAGGAATGAAGAGCGAGAGAGAAGACAGACGAAACAGTGCACAGTTATCAGGCCTTCCGCGTGTCCCCCGTACCTGCTCTCCTGAGGGGGGTGGCGGGAAAGCACCCCTTTCTCTCCATCTGTGTTTTATCACTCTCACAAGCTCGGGAACCTTTTCCCCCTAAACTGCTCCCTGGGCTTCTTGAACATTTGTCACCAAATAACAGGGCCCTCCGAGGGGGCACCGCTGGCCTGGCCTTCTCCTCTTGCCCCTGCCCGTGCTCCCCGCCGGTGGCAGGAGGAAGAGGAGTGGCCAAGAAAGCTCACCTGTGCCCTGTGAGAGGCTCGTGTTTTCACCGAAACGACAAGTTACCAAACAGGTTTTGTTTCTTCTCTTCACAACAAGGCTTTTCCCCTGCTTTAAAGTATGGAGAGCAAGTTCCCATATCCTTTTCTAATCTACTCGCTGGACAAGTCCTGCTTTCAGATATCTGAGAAGAGAAGACAGAGCCGCAAGCGGCCATGTCCTGGGAAAATGCAACTCTTATGACTGAGTTGGAAATAGAGGCCGCCTGTGCCAGGCAGGGCGGGAATCACTACCGCCACCCCCAGTCACGGGGTGGTGGGGGGGTTTCCTGCTCCTGCTCTCCCCTCTCCCCAACCCCCTCTCTCAGAGAAAAAAGTGCTGCTGGGGGAAAACCCACTTCTGCACCCCCAAAAGACCCCCAAGAGGACACTGACCTAAGGGCCGGATCACATCCTAACTACTTAGCATAGAAACTGTCAGCCTTTGTGTGACTTTGCGGTCCTTCTAAAGTGCCTCTTTATTAAATATATATATAAATGTTAAATTTATATATATATATATATATATATAACACAAAACTTTCGTATACATTCTCAATATCTAAAACTTAAGAAATGTTAATCTTGCCATCACCCTCAGGCTCTGTCTCTCTTAGTTATTGTCCCCCCACTGGGGACCCCAAGCCAATTATCACCTGCCCCCACCTAGTACAAGCCTGGCTCTAAAAGATTTACTTCGGCCCCCCTTCTTAGCATCTAAGCTATATGGAATTTCTGTTCAATATCAAAAAGAGGGAACGCGGTGATTTCCAGAAATGACCAGGAAAGCCTAACGGGCAAACTCAGATTCTCTGACCTGAGGGGAGAACAGTATTTTGCCCTGAATGGTAGGAGCAGGGCCCACCTACCTCAGAGAGAAAATTGCATCATCCTGGGACACCCTCCCAGTATTGCTTCCTGCCTCCTGAATTCCCTGACCTTCCCCCCTAGATTGGTCTGCCTTCCCCCACACAGGATTCTCCGCTTTGGGGGCACAGTAGGGTCTAGAGCACAGCTCAGTCAAGACAACCAGCCCCCCTTGCTGAGTTCAGAGTAAGCTTTCCCGATTTCCACTGCTGCTTCAAGAACCCTGAGGCTAGCTGTTCCCCAGCTGAACATGACTTCAAGGTGCAGGGAGGGGTAGGGGAGGCTTACTCTACTTTTGAAAAGGGCTGTACGGTCTACTTTCTGGGGCCTGGAATTCCTAGGTTGGTGACTTAGGTTCAGGGTTCCAGGGTCACCTCTACCCACACCCCCAGGCCTGCAGTGAAGGCAGTAACTGTGACTGTGCCACCTGGGGCCTTAGGTAAGAATTCACATTTGGAAGCAGAGGTCAATGGAACTTAGTCATTGAGAAACAGGTCGCACTTCATAAACTTCAAGCTCCAAGTATTTGTGTGCTAATTTGAGCTGCCAAGAGTAGTAATGTAAATTCTGGAAATACCTTTAAGGGGTGGGGCTGAAGGAACAAGGAATCCAGGTGTCAGGCAGAAAGGCTCCCAGGTACAAGGCGCTCTGTGCGCGTGCATGTGAGCGCCTGTGCGTCTGCACGTGTGGCACCACCTGCTCCCAGCTGGCCGGCGTCTGACTCAGTGCTTGGCATTCCTGACTCTGAGTGCTTGCCTTGCTTCTTTTTGTGCAGTGTACTCCCTGTGAGTGTTGGGACTTGCAGCAAGAGGCTTGCCCTTGTCTCTAAAGGTGCATTCAGCTTTCTGTGGCCTTTACAAAATGACATAATTCCGTATGGAGCTCACATCCCTGGCAGGTTACTGGGATGGCAATGCTACAAGGTTCTTCGTGTTGCAGTGAGTTCTATCGTAAGGCAGTTTCCTGTCCATGAAATTGGATAGAATTGATCCTATGCTTGAGCATTTGTTTGGTGCTTAGGCTTTTTTGATTTGGGAGAAATAATCTCTGCCTTGTACAGGCAATTTCAGAGTAGGGGGACCCTTCTCGTGCATGGTCTGCCAAAGGACCTGAGACACCCTCTCTTCCTGGAGCTGGGTCCACCGAGCTCTCCCAAATTTACAGTCCATATGTTTGGGAAAATTCATAAAGCTCATTATTTTTCAGTCTAATCTTACAGGCCAAATAAGCTGAGTTAAAATGTTTCTAATGTAAAGCAGTTGCTTAAGACTTGTTTTCTTAATGTGTGAAGCTTAGAAGGTGAGCCAAGTGGTGTTAAATATGACAATGTTCAGTCATCAGCAAATTTTGCATCCTTGCCGTCTGCAGACACTGAGGGGTGCTAAGTATTATCACTATTCCTAATGACTATCTGTGGGGTATGAAAACAACTTAGCATGAGAAAAACACAGGCTTATTCCCACTTCACAACACTCTCTTAGGGGCCTCCCTGGTGGCGCCAGGGGTTAAGACACAGCCTGTGAAGATGTCCGCAGCCTCTGCAGCACAAGTTTGATCGCTGGCCAGGGAGCAACCCACATGGGGCAGCAGACCTCTCCTGTCTTGCCCACTGCTCCCCTCAGCAGTGTACTTCGGTTGATCTGCCTGTTCTGTTCCCAGCTCTGTCTTTGGTGAATCCTCTCACCTACCCACCCCCACCCCCCACACACACCTCTGGCTTGTACCCCAGCTCTTGTATGCATAAATAAATAAATCTTTAAAAAACAAAAACAAAAAAACAAGACTCTCTTAGGAGTCACCAGATCTAGGCTGTGGTTGCACGGTCTGTAAACTCTCTGCTTCCCAAAGCATCTCTGAAGTTGCTCAAACTGTGCCAGCGCTGAGGCCTTCTCCTGAGTGAGGTGGCTAAGCCTCCTCTGGGTCATCAAGACTTCCATCTTGTTTCTTAAGAGCTTGTCCTCATCATCACTCCTTGTACTGCCCTCACACCCCACCCACTCCCTATGACTTATCCCTGATTTGTGGTTACATTTCAACTATTAGATTGGGGGTTTGTCTTTAGGGATATAAAGGAAGAAGGAGTGATGATTGTCAGGCTGGGGTGAATGAGCACTCCAGTGGGCTGCACAAAACTCGAAAAAGGAAAGGGAACAGGTTGTGTCCCCAGCCTGAGAAGCGTCCTCCTGCCAGCTGGGGATCCTGAATTCACTGTGTGTGACCTCTGCCCCAGGGAAGCCAGTGCAAAGCAGGCCCTTTGGCTCCATCTCTTCTTCTTCCCTCCCTCAGGACTTGCTCTGGAACCTGGAATTGCCAGTTGTGCTTTCCAACACCCTGAGAGCAGGACTCCCACTCACAGCACAGCTAAATGAGTTCGCAGAGGAAATTGCCCAACCTGCTCCTTGGCAGGTCTTTGAAGTTGTGGTTGTTACTGGAAAAGAGAGCCTAGTTTCAGTGGAAAGTCCAGGGCCT